TCCAAGGCTGATTTTCCCAGGTGAATTAAAAGAGGGAGGGGGATATAGTTTCCACAGTGGTGCATATAACATGTATATATGCATTTTGATACATTGAGATTATGCTCTTTATTATATCAGCAGTAAGTTTACACATTTATTTGTACACTTATTAACGTGGTCTTCTTGTATTTTCTTTTGTGAATACCCTTACATATTTTAAGATGGTTTATCATTGTCATGTAATAAATAATAAATAAGTTAATGATATAAAAGAAATAACAACTGCTAATGATATAAAAGAAATACAACTGCTTTTAAAAAGTAATTTTATTGGTACTATAAAGGTGTGTAGATATGGGCTGCCAGTTCATAAGTCAGGTAATAAGTACATTTTTTCTTTTGGAAAGTGTCACCCCTGGCTTCCCTTCCCGCAAGTTACATAAGTCATTTTCCACATAGTGTATACTAAATAGCATGATTGCATTTGTTCACTCAACTGTAATTCTAATGTCATGAATTTTGTGATCTAACAACTTCTAAAATAAACTTTAAAAATGAGCACATTTGAGTTTTATGAAATCCTTACTATTTTTGTGAAACCTTGGATTCCTACTTCATTGACTTTCATGTATTTGATTACTTGATTCTTTTTTTTTAATTTTTATTATTTTTATTTTTTGTGAACACACTGTACAGAGGAGTTACAATTACATGGGCAGGTTAATGCGCACATTTCTTATCAAGCATTGCAGCCTCCTCCTTTGTTTACCCTTCACATCCCTTCCCAGCCTCCCCCCCCACCCCCCCACCCAATCCTTCCTGCTTCTCCCCCCCCCAACATTGTAAAGCTCGTTTTCGACATGACAACTTGTACTTCTCATTGTTGCAACAGGTCCACCTGTATACGACTTTTTTTCCCCATCTCCTCTACAAGTTATACTGACATCAAATATAGTGAAAGCAGGGGTTATACTGTGGGGGAGGACACTTCTCAATGCTATTTAATTCTCTGTCAAGGATAGTTTACATATCCTTTTTTCAGAATCATGATATGTATGATTCATACGTATTTTATAAAATTTGCTGAAACTAAATTTTCATAATGGGATTTTTGGTATTTTATTCAATTTTTCATTTTATTTTTACTTGTATAAAACCTTGTTCTAATTCCCTTAACATTGAGTCACTGCTTTATCATCAGAACTTGTGCTGTTTTTATTTGCTTTATTCTCATTGAGATTTTAACCAAATCAGGCTAGACAAAAGTTTCTATTTTATGAAATTAAAAATGAGTTTAGAAGTATCTTTGAATAAAGTTAGCTGATACAAATTTTAGTCATTCAAACTTGCTTGTACACAGAACTATGAAGATTGTAGTTTAGCACTTTTAGAGTGTTCTCATGAATGAATCTCATTCATTGGCTATCATTTATACATTGTAATGTTTTTGTATGTGTCCTTTGAGTTAGTGATATAAACAGTATCAGTTCATATACTTAATTTTTTGTTAAGAAATTTGGTGGTAATATTTCCTAAATGAAGCACAATTTTGCTTTTAATCTCATGTCAAGTGCAATATAGAGTTATTAATTCTTTTAAGATTATCAACTTTTGACAAGTAACTTCATCTGCCATCTGTTCTTGTAGGAACATTTTTTGTGAAGTCTTATTATCTAACATTTAGATTTTTGTAAAGTTTTAGTTTGTAGAGTAGGACAAATAAACACTAGTGCCAGGATTAGTTTAGCACATTAACCTAACTATATATGGGTAAAACTGTCTTTAAGAAGAATTATTATTTCTATTATATTGAGTTACAAATAATCCTTAGTTTGGTTTTAAATAATTTAATTTTTAATAACTCTAAAACTTTTGCAAATATTCCTAGTGTTAGAGATAATAAATCAAGCACCAAGTACAATTAAAGCAGAAAACATATCAATAAAATCTTTGACTATAATAACTAGCTAATGGAAATAGCTATTTATTGAGTTACTACAGGAAAACCAAAACTATTTGCCACTATTGAACATTTTTACTAAGGCTTTAGGAATCAGAAGTGGGAGCATTCAGTGCTATGATTTGTATGTCTCCTATAAAGTATAACATATCATAAGTGATATATGAGATTTGGTAGATTTCCTAGTGAGTCTAAAATTTTTGCTAATGGCCTAATGAAGTTTAGTTTGTGTTTTAGAATTAAGGAAAACAATGTTTAATGGTAGCTCAATTAGAATTAAGGAAAACAATGTTTAATGTTAGCTGAGGTAGTACTGGAAACTATTAGAATAGTGACAGTGTTAATAAGAAACAACTTATTCTATTAATTCAACAGAGGATGAGAAGGAATAATGTTGGGAAATAATAAATAAGGTTGGGAAAGTAATGGAATATTAGTAGAGAAAGAAAGTAATTTTTGGTCAATCTTTGTAATTTCTTAAATTTGTTTTAAAATAAGACTTGTATGAAAGCATTTTGATTCATGAAGAATAAACAAAGAAAGTTATTATAGAATACTTTTATAACAGAATTACATAATCATATTAACTGTAAGCTTACTTAAAATTTGTAGTTTTGACTTTAATCTCTCATAGTATTCCTAGCTTTCTTAAAATTAAATTTATTTTATTCATAAATTACTGGTACATCTTATTAAAATCTAATAGAACTATTTTTTGGGGTAGTACTGAGATTTCAACTTAGAAACTCATGTTTGTCAAATGCCACTTAAACCATACCCCCATCTTTTTTGTGCTTTGGTAATTTTCTGGATGGAGACTTTTAACATCATTTTTCCTCCTACTTGTGCTTCTTTTGTTGTTTATATTTTTAATTGTAAAAATACTGTACAGAGAGGTTAAAGTTACATGAGTAAGGTAATGAGTACATTTCCTATTAAGCATTGTTACCTCTTATGTATCTTGAATTACAGGTTGCGTGCATACCATGCCTGACTTATTTGTTGAGATGAAGATCTCTCTCTTTTTTTTTAGGAGCTTAACAAAAGCCAGTTCTCTTTATTAATAGCCCTTCTTTTTTATGTTTTTTATTGTAAAAATAGTATAGGGAGGGGTTACAATTACATGCATGACTAAGGTAATGAGTACATTTCCTATCTTTAGCCCACTTATTTATTGGGCAGTTGTTTCTTTGAAGATTTGTTGTTGGGGGATTTCATTTTTTGAGTTTAAGGTATGTTTTAGATATGAGACCCTTGTCTGTTGTATGGCTAGTGAAGATCTTCTCCCACTCGGTGGGCTTTCTATTGATCTTGCTAGCTATGTCCTTTGCGATGCAGAAGCTCTGTAATTTCATGCAATCCCATTTGGCCTACCTTTCTTTGATTTGTTGTGTTTCTGTGTCTCTATTAAGAAAATTTCGGTCTTTTGCCAAGGAGACCTAGGGTTTCTCCTATTAATTTTTTATTTTTTTTGTAAATCTTGGTTCTTAAAAATCCAAATAATTACAGCCATGTCATCTATGATAGCAGTGTTATTAATGATCATTAATGATCAGTGTTTTATTTGGCTAACTGAAATTATTCACTTAGCACATTTATGATTAGGCAGTTTATAGGTCAAAGAAGTAAACTAATATTTAGATTGGTAGTCATCTGTAGAATGGAAAATTCAAGTTTAAGATTAATTTATTCCTATTGCCTTAGAAGAAGGGATTTAAATAACTATTTTGAACATGGAGAAACTGACATACACTGGATTCACAGTAAGATTTAACAACTGGGCAACAAGATCTGGATTTGTGAATACTTAATATCTTGCATATTATAGGCCCTTTCTGTGTAGTTCTTCAACAAAATGAACAAAATTGAACTTAGCATCTGGAAGTTTTTCATTTATCAAACGGATACTGCCTTTTGGCAAGTTTGCAATAGCTGATAACTTGCATACATTCTGAAACTCTTTGAAATAATATGGTCCTGTCAAAAGGTTCTATTTTCATACTTTTGGATTATAAGCACTGTCATTTCCATAAGGCATGTAGAATACTGTATTTCTTCGTATCTGTAACACTCACTATGTCCTGATAGCTACTTAAAAGAATAATCTTGATGGAAGTATAATCAAAGCAGAAAGTAAAAGTATTCATACTGATGAGACAGATGGAAATGCACTGAAGTTATAGAAACTATAAAGCATTGCTTTACTATTGAGGTGATACATCAATGGTCAAGAAAATTGAATTCCAATGGAAATACATCACTGTTAATAATATCTAGGAAGAGGAGAGAGTGAAAAAGCCAAACTTTTGCTTTGTGTCTTTGCAGGGCAAGCATAATGCCTTTGTGTTCCATATTATTTTTCCCAGCAAATAAACATACAAGTTCACTTACATAGAAATATGAATATTTCTTTTAATTGAAGGAATTGAAGTTCCTTACTAAAGAAACTTAGTTCATAAAAATGTGAATATCTTCTAAAGATTAAGAATATGGCCTTTATAAAGTTTATTTGTGTTTATATCCAATGAATGTTTATCTCATGTGCCATATACTTTTAAAAGTTGTTGACTGTGTTTTTATCCCCCCAAAAGCCAATTTTTTTTTGTTTTTTGAACTCCTTATGCCTTATTATATATTTAAGTATGAGTAAGGGTTCTGAAGAATTAATCTTAATAATGTCTCTACTTTTTAACAAACCAATCATCTATTATATATAGATAAATTCTTGTGTTGTTAGGAAACAAAATATTAAAAATTTACAAAATATACTTACGGAATTTTGTATGTTTATTACAATATCCTATTCCATGGGACTAATTTGACAGCAAAATTTTGAAATTATTTTAATAGATTAAGTTGCTCAGTGAGCTGAGCAACTTTATCAAACCAATGTATTGCATTTTGTTACTTTAGGAATTTCTTCTCTTTTGCTTAAGAAATATAAAGACATTCAGTTTTTCACCTTATTTTTTTTTAAAATCACTTAGATGAATAACCTTTTACACAAAACATTATATCAATACTTCCTGCAAACTTGTTAACCTTCTTTGTATTGTAGTGCCAAGAAAATGATGAGCTAAGAGATGCCCATGAAAAACGCAAAGAAAGGCTACAGATGTTACAGACCAACTACAGAGCAGTAAAAGAGCAATTAAAACAGTGGGAAGAAGGCAGTGGCATGTGAGTTACATGGCTCATAAAGACATTTCCCGAAATATTAAATGGAATGGTATAGCATTATATAGTTGTTTTAATGGCTTTTGTTTGGATTTAAAGAAATTATTTGGTAGTCAAATCTTTATTATAAATTTTTAAATTCAGAATATAATAAATGAAAACAGAAATGTGCCAGCCATGCTATAAGTTTTCTAATCATTTGAAGATGTCAATAGCAGTAGGTACTTAAGAATTATTGTATATATTGTAATATGTGTCGAATAATCTAATTAAAGAATATATTCAGTGCAAAATAGTTACTATCAAGAAAATAGTTACTATACAGATCTGCTTTTAAATAAGTAAAAAAGAAGTATTAAAATTTTTATAATGCAGTGATTTATATTTTAATAAAAATAGAGAAATGTAAAATTAATATATATAATTCACATATACAGTTAACTGTCCTAAGACTATTTCAACCTAATATGTAATTTGAAGATCTTTACTATCCATCAGTTTGTTCTCTAGCTTATTTGAATGAATTGGTGGTCTCAGTTCAATTGCTCTGAACAGGTGTTCAGATCTTGGTTATTTCTAAGTGGCTCCCTTGTTAACAGTATCAACAGAGGGCAAAGGACTGAATGAGTACAGAAAATCTACTACCATCTCATCTTTTGAGATGGATCCTTTAGGGCAATGTTGATGATACACATTGGTCTGTTCTATAGAGAAATACTGTTTCTAATTTGGCCACTACAGCATTTTTAAAAAATAAAATGAAGAGTTTGTTTTATGTACAGAAAATGAAAATGTAAAGGCTATTCAAAATTACTTGTTGAAAATCATCACATCTAATTTTTGCTTTGATGAATGGAAAATATTTCCAATCATATGTTAGTAAAGCAGTAATCAAGTCAATTTTCCTAGATGTAGCCTCTGCACACCTAACTTTTCTGGTAATCACTGCTGAAGAGAAACTGCTTTCTGACATGTTCACTGTTAATAGCATATTGTAAGACAGGGCATCTCTACTACTTTCACATTGGATGGCAGAAAATTCTAGTTCAGTTGACTGCTTATAATAAAAATGGTTATACTCCTCCAGTTTATGTTTTATACCTGTTATTCTGTGCTGGAATGAATCAAAGAAATTTAAGAATGTTATGTATTTGCTTAAAAGTTGCTTTTCTTGGTAACAGTTTAGCTTTAGGAAAGTATTACATAGGATTTTAATTTCTTTACACTAATAACTTAGAAAATAAATCCATAACTAGTGAACGTGAAATTAGTAATTGAAATTTAGTCAACAGATACTTGTATTTATAAAATCTAAGAAAACTATAAATTAATTTATATTTCACTTTAAATATGTTGAGGAAAACAAAAATTTCATTAAAAATAGGACTGAAATCAGAAAAATAAAGAGAGCTGATCCCCAACAACTTCGACAAGAAGATTCTGATGCTGTATGGAATGAGCTGGCATATTTCAAAAGGGAAAACCAGGAGCTAATGATTCAAAAGTGAGTTTCTCTTTCTTTTCTTTTTTTAAATATATGGACTTAAATGAACATTATAGAGGAATTATTTTGTGGTTTAAAGGCCATAAGAAAAATACCTTATAAAATTTTAAAAAGGAAATTATCTGGATTTTGTCCAAAAAAGTAACAACAAAAAGACTGCCTTTTAGAATACATATATATGAGTGTGTGTTTGTGTGTGTATGTGTGTGTATTATGCAATAACAAGTTGCACATTTGCTATGTCTGATGGAAACTGTATAATATGATCTAGGGATTGTGTTAATTAATGTGGCTCTCATCTGTTGGAGGTGTCGCTCCTCATTAGCCTGTATTTTAGAGACTGCCGTGCTTCATTTTTGGAATGAGGTGGAGAGGGGATAACCTAGCCAGCCATCCTTGTTTGATCTCTTAGATATATACGCAATGCAGAATGCTTGAGCTCTCTTGGTTCCCTGCCCTGTCCTGCTAATCCCAGCTGAGCTCATTATGGTGTAGCCTTGCTGCTACTCTTGGAGCCAGAGCTGTCCAAGCTAATTACTGGTAGCAGCAGAACTGCCTGTTAAGGGTCTGGTGTGGATCTGCTAACATGGTCCTTGGTAGTGACCTGCAAAAGACACAAGGGAATTGCTTGCTTTCTTTTTGTGCACTTCCTGTCCTTTGGGCTTAATGCTGATCCTTCCACATAGGTCTTTTAGTTGCCCTAAGTATAAAACTTGATGAAGGATACTCATATTTTAGAAAACATACAGTTTGTTTGCTTGATCTTATAATGCATATGCTATAATGTTCAGCCTGGCAAGGAATGAACATTTTTTCTTAAAGAAGAATTAAACTAAATATAATTAGCCTTTCCTGTTACTTATCTATTTTCTCATGTAGAGTTAAGTTTTGATACTAAGACCATACAGATCTTTGAAAGACTGGATGACTTTTACTTTGCTAGAATTTAGCATCATGTGACATATTACAATTGATTTTTTCTTAGCTCTAAATCAGTTTATTTTATATATGAAGTAACATACATAACTGAATTTCAGCCTTTTCTATATAATGATAAACTTTTAAAGATGACCTTTTCAGATTTAGATGTATACTCTCTCATTTACCACTTAGAGTATATTATTTGTGGTAAACATGTAATGCTGAGTCACTTCTCTTGAAAATTATTTTATAGAATATGCAGAATATAGATTATATAGAATATCCTCAAACAGTTCCTGATGGTTTTGTATGTTTTTAGTGAAATATAATTCAGAAACCATGGAACCACACATATAATTCACTCTTACAAAGCATATAATTAAGTGGCTTATACTATATTCAAAGAGCTATCCACCATCATTATTACAATTAATTTTAGAATATTCTCATCTTCTAAAAACTTATACAATCTAATTATCATACTCCTAACTTGTCTAGCCTTTCAGCCCTAGGCAACAATTTTTAATGTACTTTCTGTACATTTAATTCACATTTTGTATGTTACAAACAGCACTTTGAATAAAATGCTGAGTTACTGTTAAACTGTGGAATAGTTTCCTTGTTATTGTTTGTGTAAGTTAGCTGTATGTAAAATCTGGCTTTAAACTAGTTTTAACTTTTAGTATAAGGTAGTGATTTTTTTCAAAAGAATGCTAAAATAGTGAATAAACTCTATGTGGTAAACATTTTCATGGTAACTGTTAGGTTATTTTGCTAAATACTTGTGTAGTTCACATATGTAAATATATCTGAGCTACTATTATATGTTAGGTACTGTGCTTGGTTAATGAAATGAGAAAATTAGATAACAATTCTATTCTCAAGTTGCTTATTTGGTATACACAGGAAAGAGCAGGGGAAACATTAGGGCTCCTGGGCATAAATAGAAGCTTTCTGAATAAAGATCCAGCATAACAAATCAAAGAATGACAAGAAATTGAACTGCATCAAACTGCTCGGCAGAAACTTCAGCCAATAAGCTTAAAAGATAGCTAACAAAATGGGGAAAAAATTTTGCCAACTGCTTATCAGACAATAGCCTAATATCCAGAATTTACAGAGAGCTTAAAAAATTAATACTCAAAAAGCCAAGAACTCAATAAATGGGCGAATGAGCTAATGAGGGTCTTCTTAGAAGAAGTAAAAATGGCCAGTGGACACATGAAGGAATGCTCAATGGAAATGCAAATCAAAACAACACTCAGATTCTACCTTACCCCAGTTAGAGTAGCCATTATCAAGAAAACAAGCAACAACAGATACTGATGGGGATACAACCAAAACAGAACCTAACACATTATTGGTGGTAACATAAACTTACTCAGCCACTTTGGAAAGCAATGTGAAAGTTCCTCAGAAAAATTAAAAACACAGAACTACCCCTTGGTTCAACAGTTCCACTCCTGGGCATTTACTCTAAAGATTTCAAACCAGGATGCAGTAAAGAAAGCACAGCCATGTTTATTGTAGCACTACTCACCATAAAGTATGGAGTCAGCCCAGGTCCCCTTATTAGACAAATGGATCAAGAAAATGAGGTATAAATACCTAAATCTAATGGATGCATTAGAAAGAATGATATTGTACCATTTTTAAAGAAATGGAAAGAACCGGATAAAATTATTTTAAGTGAAGTAAGTCAAGCTCAGAGAGACAAAAGGATGCATGTTTTCCCTTATGTGTAAGCTCGATTTAGCTTATAAATGCATAATACATTGTGTGGCAATCAGGTTTATGCAAATGTATTAACTGAAATATGGTAGATTCAAGAAAGATCTCAAAGAATGTAATTCCTTAGAAAGGCAAAATCAAAATTCAGCAAAATAACTCCAGGAAGCAGATACTCAAAAAGGATAGGGTGAGGTTAATGGGAAAGAGACAGATGAATGAAGAGATGGAAAATGCAGACAAGAATTCTAATATATTCTACAAAATTATGAAGAGTGAGAGAAGGAGTGAAGGAGTAGGTAGGGGAGGAATGAGTGAGACTCTTAAAAGGGGTGACATTAATCAAGATATATAAACTGCTTTGATAAATGGTAACTCCTTTGTACAACTACTTAAAGATAATTAAACAATGAAAATATAAAAATGTGCCAATACTGCAGCTTGAACAAAGTGACTTGCATTCTCTTTCTGTTTTTTTGCTCCCACTCCTGAAAAAAAAGTATGATGGAGAAAATAGGAATGACAGAAAATTAGTCTTTTCGTGAAGTTTGTTTACTGATGGGGTGGAAATTTTGTTTTCCTTTGTTTTCTTAAATATATATACATTAACTTTTTCAGTGTATACTTATATAATTTATAACGTGTATAGATTTGAGCAAGTATTCCCTCATTCAGGAACAACATTTTAAAACAATTTCCTAATTATTAAAAAATAAAAGTTCTTCTTACCCTTTCTCTTCACATCCTCTCAGCACCAACACCTGGCAACCACTGATTTATTCTCCTTCCTTGCAGCATTTCCTTTTTCAAATGTTGTATTTTATGTTGTTATTAATTATTATTACACCTATATAACTTTATAAAGGCCGGGTTTTTTCATTCAGCATAATATCTTTGACAGTCACTTGTTTGGGTTCATTCAGTTTGTTCCCTTGTGTTTCTTTTGTTGTTGGTGTTGGTCATGGGGCTTGAACTCTGGGCCTGGGCACTGTCCCTGGGCTGGTTAGCTCAAGGTGAGTGCTCTACCAGTTGAGCCACAGAGTCACTTCTGGCTTTCTGGTGGTTAATTGGAGATAAGAGTCTCATGGACTTTCCTGTCCGGTCTGGCTTTGAACCATGATCCTTAGATTTCAGTCTCCTGAGTAGCTAGGATTACAAGCATGAGCCACTGGCAGCGCCCAGCCTCTTCTTGTATTTCTAAGTGGAATTTTATTGTACAGATGTATACAGAATGTATTTATACATGTGCTGAAAACTAGGTCTTTCCTAGATTTTTTAGAAAACAATTAGGAGTAAAGATGATATCACAGTTCTTGTATGATCATACTTTAAAGTTGTTGCTGAGTCAGTTGGTCAGTATATGAATAACTGTCAAACTCTTTTCCAAAGTAACTATCATATTTTCATTCTACATAACGATTCATAAGAGTGCAGTTGTTTATTGTCAACCATTGGTATTGTAAGTATTTTTTCAAAACTTAATGGATTTCAGCAATGGATGACACTGGGATTTTTTGCTTGTCGTCCTTTGAATCTGTATATTTCTTCTAATAGCACCAAATTCTTACAATTCACAAACATGAAAGGTCTTTTATCTTCTTGAGTCTTTTTAAATTTCTTTCTTTGCATTTTATATTAGTTTAAACTAGGGTTTATGTGTGGGGGTGGTGTGTGGATCAGTGTGTGCAAATCCTAAGGCTTAACTCAGGGCCTGGGTCCTGTCTCTAAGCTTTCGTGCTCAAGGCTAGCATCTACTACTTGAGTCATAGATCCACTTCTGGGTTTTTTTTTTGGTGGCTAATTGGAGATAGGAGTTCCTGGACTTGCCTGGGCTGGGTTCAAACTGATCCTCAGATATCAGCCTCTTTAATAGGAAGGATTATAGGCATCATCCACTATTTAGCTAATTTTTGTTTTTGTTTTAAGAATATTGTAAATGGAATTGTTTTCCTGATGTTTTCTTCTCATCCTGTTCATTGTTGTATAGAAAAGCTTTTGAGTTTTATATTCTCATGTAATATCCCGCTACATTGTTAAAAATAGGTATTAGTATTTATCTGGAAGGCTTATATTTTCAATCAATGGATTTTTGTCTCCCGTCCTACTATAGACACATCTTAAGTAGGGCTTTTGGGTTTAAATTTTCATTCTCACTTAGCTCACTGTATGTATTTATTCTAGAGCACACGCTTACCATGGTAGCGCAATTCTGTTGTACTAATAAGGGTATCTTGCTTTTATTTAGCATAATGGTATCTATTAATATTTTTACTAATATTTCATTAGCCTATCTTTGGCTTAGTGTTCCTCACATGTTTGTTAAAAAGCGGTTGAAAAACTAAATGCATGATAAAATATTATTTAGAGCCATGGGGACATGGATCAGGTTGTAAAGCAACTATTTCACAATTATAGGACTCGAGTTCAGACCTAAATACCACCTATAAAAATATACAGAATCAAAAATTTATTTAGCTTGATAGGATGTCCCGAGCTTGTAATTCCTGTGCTCATAAGGCTGAGGCAGGAAGACTGAAAATTTGAAGTGAGTGTGTGTGCTACATAATTTCAGAGTAAACTAGGCTAGGCAATATAGTAAGCTTCTTCCTCTTGCAAATGAGTAATGAGTTACTTATTAACTTACTTGGTAACTTAAATATTTTAAGTATTTAGCAACTTCTTTGGGATACAGTTAAAAGAAATCATTTAAAACATTTTAGTTTATAAAAAGTTTTTTTATTAAAATATTAAAATTCAGTTGCACTGGGTGCCTGAGACTCATGCCTGTAATCTTAGCTTCTCAGCAGGTAAGATAATAAGAATTGCTGTTTAAAGCCAACAATGGCAGGGAAGTCCATGAGACTATTATCTCCTGTAAACCACCAAAAAGCCAGAAGCAGAGTTTTGGATTAAGTGTTAGAGTGTTAGACATGAGCACAAAAAACTCAGGAACAACACCTATGCCCCAGGACGCCCCCCCACCAAAAAAAAAATAGTTGCATAAAATTCAATTATATTAATTTTTGCCTTTATTTTACAATTTTTATTTTATATTTTAAACACTTTAACTGCTTTTATTGGTTTCTTTCTTTTTTTGTTTTTTGTTTTTTTGGTCAGTCGTGGGGAACTCTGGGTCTGGGCGCTCTCTCTCAGCTCTTCAGCTCAAGGCTAGCATTCTACCTCTTGAGCCACAGCTCCACTTTGGCTTTTTCTGCTTATATAGTGCTGAGGAATTGAATCCAGGGCCTCTTGAATGCAAGGCAAGCACTCTACCACTGAGCCACATTTCCAACCCTGTTTCTTTATTTTTTTATCTTTCTTAATTTTAAAAGAATTATATACAATTATCATCTTTATTCTTTATTATTCTGTTTGAGTCAAACATTAATTGTGATTTTTTAGTTTAATGATGTATAGAGGGGTTACAATTGCATTCATAAGGTAGTGAGAACATTTCTTGTCAAATATTGTTACCACCTCCCTCATTTTCTCCTACTTTCCCCTTCCCCTTAATGCCCACCCCCCCCCAAGTTATAAAGTTCATTTCTAACATGTTGTCTGATGAGTATCGCTGTTGCATTAGTTTGCCCTTTGTCTCACCATTTTGTTGTTTACCTTCCCTTCTCTAATTCAGATATATAATACACAGGGTACCAAAATCAAATACAGTGACAACAATGGATAAACCATATGGAAAAAAAGGAAAAAAAACGTAAGAATAAAGAAATAACTTCACATAGTACATTAAAATAACAACATCAAAGAAAAAACCTCTTATTTCCATATCTTGGCTTGGGTGCTGTCCTTCAGCACTCTTCCACGTTAGCCACAGCTCCAATTCCAGTTTTCTTGTGGTTAATTGGAAAAAGAGTCTCATGGACTCTCCTGTCTAGGCTGGCTTCAAACAGTGATAATCAGAACTCCGCCTCCTGAGTAGCTAGGATTACAGGTGTGAGCCACCAGTGTCCGGTTTCATTCTTTTTTTTTTTTAAGCTCATACATCTTATGTAATTGTTTATTGCTCTAATTTTCATAGGTTAAATCTTCAAGAAGAATTGGATGAACTTAAAGTACATATGTCTATTGATAAAGCAACAATACAAGAATTGAATAGACGTATAGCTGAGAAAAGAGAAGGTAATTTTCATCAAACTATGTACAAGAATTGTTAAATTATAGTGTTCTTGATGTTTTATCTTCAGTTTCTTTTAATAATGTTGCTCTTTTTTCCCTTTTACCATTACAAAAAAAATCAAATAAATGGAATCCATTCAAGTGTCTTTTGGGACAAGGTTATAATCTAAATTAGGTTGAGATTTCATCTTACCCCAGTCAGAATGGCAATCATCAAGAAAACAAAAACAATAAATGCTAGCATTGAAACTAATATACACTGTCTTGAAATTAGAATGGAGATTTATCAAAAGGCTTAAAATAGCTGAAAGTTCATTTCTTTGGTCCTTTCTACTTTGGAGGATAAGAAGGAGAGAATCATGGTCAGAGGCCAGCTTGAGGAGTAAGCTTAAAAGACTCCATCTCAATCAACAAAGAAAGTGAGCGTGGTAGTTGATACTTACTTATGTAAGAGGTGTAAATAGGAAAATTTGGTCTAGGTTTGACTTGATAAAAAGCAAGAGCCTATTTGAAAAGTCAAAACTGCAAAAAGCCTAGGATACATAACTCAGGGAATAGAGCTCCTGCCTAGCAAGTGTTAATCCTTGAGTTTAAATGCCAGACCTTTAAAACAAAGTACTGAAGAAAGATCTACTTTCTGACCCTGTTATACCACCGTTGGGTATATATTTAAAGAAACATAATCAACATTCAAGAAACATATCTATACTACTATGTTTACTGCAACACTATTCACTATTCATAGTAGTTAAGCTATGAAATTAGACTATGCTTAACAGCCAACAAATAGGTAAGGAAAATATGGCTATATAAACACAGTAGAGTTTTATTCAGCCATGATGAAGAATGAAATTACATCATTTTCCAAAGAATGGATAGAAGTAAAGATTAATGCACTGAGTAAAATAAGCCAACCTCAAAAAGTCATGTACTGTATGTTTTTCTTATGTGATAGCAATAAAAATAATACAACATTAGTAAAAATGGAAACTGTTGCCAGTCACTATTGGCTCATGCCTGAAATCTTTGCTGCTCAAAGAGTAGAGATTTGAGGATTGTTGATCCAAGCCACTCTGGTAGGAAAGTCTGTGAAACTCTTAGATCTAAATAACCACCAAAAAGATGGAAGTAGAGCCATGGCTCAAATGGTAGCACAATAGTCTTGATCAAAAGCATACAGGCTCTGAGTTCAAGCCCAGTACTGGCAAACACAAGTAAAGGGGACTGTTGGGGTATATTTTCATCAAGAATGGAGAGCAAAAAAGGAGTATATAATGAAACTAACCAAATACTCTTTGAAAAAGAGGCCTAGGAGGATGGGTAATTCAGAGTAAATAATAGAAGTTGCAACTTGCTTGCAGTATGCTGTGTACATATGCAGAATTTTCACAATGGAACTCTTGTACTATTAATAATTGCTAATTTTTTAAGTCACAATTTCTGAGGAGATATTTAATAAGGACAAATAATAGCAGTTTCTATGTTCATTGGTAAAATTTTCTTTGTTACGTTGTTTTATAGTTATAGTCAACATCACTAATAATTCATTCATATTTTCATTTAAAATTAAAAACTTTTGAAATGATTTAGTTCTATATTTTCATGTAAACAAAAACCTTTCTGCATATGATAATGTAAAATGATGATTATCAAAATAAACTCCAAGAAATGGAAACTAGAGGTTTTTAATTCTACTTTTTGTAGTTTTTTTGTTTTTGATTTGTTTTTTCCCTTTTGGATATTTTTTAATTTCTGTACTTTTTGTCTTGTATGTAAGTTTATCTGTTTTGGGGAGAGCAAGAGGAAGCACAGAAATGGTGGGAGAAAGGGTGAACTAATTCAGCAGTGATACTTAGTAGACACTGTTGAAAATGTTGGGAGGGAGAATCCGAGGGAAGAAGTGACATTGTTCAAAAAGAAATGTACTCTATCACCTGAACTATGTAACTGTAACTCCTCTGTGCATCACTTTTCAATAAATTTTTTTAAAGAATTTTAAACCAAGAAGGAAACTTGGAAGATTTCAAATGTGCAACCAGTTGCCTAAAATGGTTCAGTAATAGGAAATGTATCACTGTTAAAATTGAAAGGTAGGGGCTGGGAAGGTGGCTCAGTGGTAGAGCGCTTGCCTTGCACGTATGAGGCCCTGGGTTCGATTCTTCAGCACCACATAAGCATAAAGAAAAAAAGCCAGAAGTGGCGCTGTGGCTCAAGTGGTAGAGCCCTAGCCTTGAGCTGAAAAGCTGAGGGACAGCACCCAGGCCCAGAGTTCAGGCCCCACGACCGGACCCAAAAAAAAAAAAATTGAAAGGTAAATTTTTTGTTGAAAATGAGGGTACATATGTTTACTATGCAACTCATTACCTCTTTAGGAAAAAATATTGTTTACATGATAGGATTTCTTATTTAACTTGCGATAGCGTAATTATTATCACTGTTATTTTTAGCTGCTGACAATATCTACTAATTACTGTTCATCTATACCTCTCCTGGCTTTTTTAAATAACTGTTGTTTTAGTAGCTCTTACATAGGTCATGAGTAATTTGTCTAAGCTCATATTTGAACACTTGTATTTCATACCTTTAACTATCATACTTCAGGCTTACTTATCAGATCCTGAACACTGCTCTTTCCCCTCCTTCCAGCCCATTTTACCTCCTACTCTTGCCTGAATCTTATTTCTCACAGTGTGACATTTTTCTTTTTGGATCTCTAACCCACTACTTGCTTTACCTAAAAAAACAGACAGTGACTTCATTGTTTCTGAAAAACTATGAACACGTAAGCATGAAAGAAACAACAACAGAACCCCAGTAAAAATAAAGAAAAAAATCAAAATCAATTTAACATCAAAATCATTAGGAAGACACACTCATGCCTATAATCATAGCTGTACAGGAGGCTTTGATTGGGACAATTGAAGTTGATAGTTAGAGAGTATTTAGAAAAGTTTGTGAGACTCCATCATCAAAATAGCTAGCAAAATCTGGGCTGGGTGGGGGCTCCAGTGGTAAGAGTGCCAGCATAGTGAGCCAGCCAGGCAAGCAGGAAGCCCTGAATTCAAGCCCTGTACCAAAAAACAAAAAATCAAAACTATTACTTGTCACAGAATCATCTTTTCACAAGGTTTTTGTCACTACAAAAACCCACGAAATTTAAACAACTTCTTAGGTTCATAGCCATCATGTATCCATCATTTCTTTTATCTTTAGTACAGTCTTATCTCTAATAGATATCTCGTAATTACTACCTTTTACAATGACATTCCATTAGTCTGCTCAATTTAAATTTGGCCTTCATCAGCATTTTCACTTTGCTAATGAAGACATCCTGAAGAAGATAGACTGACATTTTTCTATGTCTTTGCCAGTGTTGTCTAGGATCAATTTATTGACCTTTTTTTTTTATCAAACTGTTTGAATTGAATTTCAAATAATTCTTTTATGCTCTGTTGGTGCTAAGCATAAGAGGTCTTGTGTATCTGTTTTTTGCATCTTTTTAGGTAAAACAAATAGAGAATAGGCAAAGCATATAACCACTAGAAATTTTGGCCGTCAGCATGACCTTCAATTATGGCCTGCCATTTTTTTGGCAATGCAACTTTCTTTTTTTTTTTTTTTTTTTTACAGATAAATGCATTTTATGGAACTTAGACAAGAAATTTTTGTCCTGAACATCCTCAGTAATTTGCTTAAATTTTCCCAATGCAACTTTATCCTTTTATAGATAATGAATGCTCACTTCCTGCACATGCTTTTTGAGGCTATCATTTGCAATTTACTTTCTTTGAATTGTATTTGTAGTATTTTTTTCTTGTGTTTAAAATTGTGCATGGCTGGTGCTTTTATGTTAGGCAGATTTTTTTTAGAAAATGCATCAATAATTTTTGTATTGAATCCTTTTTTTTTTTGATAGTACAAGGGGGCTAAGCTCAGTACTGCAGTCATTCACTGCTAAGGCACACATGTAGCTTTTCTGTTATTATTTTGCACTGGTTACTTTAGAATAGGGTCTCACTTCCTACCCAAGCACGTACCTTTAGGCAAATACTGCATTAATTCAAGAAATATTCATTGCTTTACATTCTTTATAAGTTTAAAAAGAAGGGTTACAAAAATATTGGAGATGGAACTACTGTGTATTTACTATTTCAATTGTAGGGACATTAAAAATTAACATCTTACTATACAAAATGAGAAACCTAGATTGGGCAAAACATTTTCTTCACCCTCCCCCCGCCACCTACATCTTCAGTTTTGAACATTAAACTTTTAAAATATGTCAACTTTATGTAGTACAGCAATAAATTTTGTCAGTTTCAATGTCATTTCTGTATACAATAGACTCATTGCTTATTATAGTTTGTAGCTATATCTTTTTAATTTTAGATCTTAATTATAAATTTTTTGGTTAGCCACATACAGTTGAAAGTATTAAATTGAAAGAAACTGCATTGAAAGAATTACAATTGACAGTAGTTAGCCAGATATAAAGTATTATTGAAAGCAGTTGAAAACATTACAGTTGAACATATTACAATTGGACATAATCAAAATAGCCTTGCTTATAAGAGGCGAGGTGTTATGAATATGTTGTGACCATTTTACACTTAAGAGATAAATGCTGGGCATCATTTTGTAGTGTCATATGCTTCTACTTAAAAGCTTGCTAGTGTTGTCTCTTTTAATAATAAAGAGAGCGCTGCTGAGAATATGTGTTATGGAGCAGTATGTTACTTACATTACCACTCCATACCATTGTCTGCTTTGGATGGGACTTAACTTTGTTCACTGCATGCCTGAAGATTTACTGTTATCAACATAATATTTAAATTGTAAATAGAATGTGTCTTCGAATAGCTTTTTTCTATATCATATTTTTCTAGAAAACCCATACATTTATTATTAATCAGTTAAAATATCACTGTGTACCAGACATTTATATATATATATTTTACTATAATTCAGGGATATATTAGGCATTTTAGAATATTTTGCATATC